GTCAAAGACGAAGCGTCAGGTAGATGAGATCTTGAAAGAGATTCATCATCCTTCCGAGTTTTCTTTCTCCCCTTCAACCTTCTTCTTAAATTTAGTCCATGGAAGGACCGTCGCTTCCTTTTCCAGCCACCATAGCTACTGATGAGAGAGCCTCCGTCTTCTCCCTCTAGCTGCGATTAGCTCTGTCGCATCCGTGGGGATTTTTGATAATCAATTTGTGTTTGATTTCGGTTTTCTCTAGATCTGTTTTTTTTTTTTTTTTGTGGTGAGATAATGTTTCATCTCTTGCTTTTTCAGAATGTGAGATGGCGAGCCTAATGGAGACTCTGAGGGAATCGTGAAGCATTGTGGAATCGACATAAATTTAAGTAATTGCTTTTTACTTTTGTTCCAATGTATAATTTCTTATTGTAAGAGAATCTGTTTTTTACCTTTGCTCAAATATGTATGTATCATGGCTCAGAAGGTTTTCAATTGGGTGTTGTATTATTTTGTTGAGCCGTTGTGTGGTGATATGCAGGCCATGGAATCTGAAGCTCAAGGAACTTTGGCTAAAATGTTTGATAAATCTGCCCATTATGAGAACCAGAAGTTCTTGTGATTGAGGATTTTCTGGAGCCAAAGAATAAACCGAAGTGATGCATGTGGATTGTTTTAAGATTTGATGTCCAAGAGTGTGGTTTAATCACAAGAATTGTTGATGAACTTATTTCTGGAAGATATGTATTTTGTATTATGGTTTCATTTTAATAAAATACAGTATTTCTTTATAAAATTATGTCATTTTATCCAAAAACAAATCCAACAAAAATACATTTTAAACACAAATACGGAAATACTATAATTATTATAATTACTGGAAATCATTTATAAGAAAACAGTTGTGGAAATTAGACACAATTGGTTTGTAATAGACACAAAATACAGTAGTGTCTATTTTGTGGATATAAGCCACAACCTTTGTCGTCGCTATGGCGTGGAAAAAAATCCACAAATAGTCACGATTTATAAATAACTATAAGCCTATAGCTACGAATCTGAATTGTATCTGTTCGTGGCTAAATGCAAAATAACCACAAAATTTTGAGTATAAGCTACAATTAATTTTGTTGCTAGAAACAACTTTTCTTGTAGTATCGTCTTTTATTTTTTTCCATATTGATGTGTATGGTAGTGGTATCCCCTTGAATAATACATAGACCATGAACTAAATTGATGTTTTGAACCTTGTACAAATTCAAGCATCCACAATGGGAATTCATATGACTGCTCACATAGTTA